TTTTTTTTTATTCCTAATGTTTTGAAGTTTCACTAGGAGCTATATTTAGAGAGAGAGAGAGAGAGAGAGAGAGAGAGAGAGAAATGTAATCTTAAAAACAACAACAACCATGCTTAGCGCCCAAGGCTCTTTCAAACAGGATACCTACTTATTTTTCTGTTCAGGGAAATTTTCTTTCTTTCTTTCTTTCTTTTTTTTTTTTCTTCTACATTGTTTCACCTCGCCTTCTGGGGTTCTTTTCAGACAAATTTTTTTTACTTCAATGGCTTTATTATCTGTGTCCCTTTGCTATCATAATTTCTATATCTTTTTGCTATATATTCTGATAATTTATCAACTTTGTCTTGAGACCACTGACTTTGTTTTTAACTATGCCCATTTTGTTTTCATTCTGTCATTTGATTTTTTAAATCATAGTTTTTCTTTTTAACATCTTTTCATACTCTGCTTCTTTTTATGAAAACTTATTCTTGTTTTACACATGTTTTTCTTTACTCTCTACAAGGGTAGTGAGTTTGGGTTTTTTCTTCTAAGTTCTGTTCCTTTCCGTGATTTATCTTTCCCCGTTCTATTTGTTCATCCAGGCCCCTCTCTTTAGACTGCTAATTTTTTTCCTCATATGTCGTGTGATTCCTGTCTTAACATTAAAATTTATGAATAAAGGACTATATCAGTTAAGAAAGTTTTGACAGTGGTTTCCGGTGCATTGTATAGGTCTATTTTTCTATTTCTCCCTTAAATCAAACACTGACCAAGGGTTCTGTATGAATGCAAAGTACATTCAGGCTTTCTTATAGGGTGAATAAACTGAATCTAGGCAGGCAGGATGGGACATACATGATTATCAAAACAAAGCACAGCTGCTTTGTCTCCTATATCCTCCCCTAATGTCTGTGGTGAAGATTTGCAGTTACTTTAAGCTCTGCGCTTATTCTTACTCAAGCCCCTGTGTCCTTATTAGAAGCTCTCCACAGGAGTCATTTTCATTGTCTACAACTTTTTGTATTTGATGACTTGTTTGGAAATTTTCCATCTTTTATCTCTGATGAGTTGGGTTCTCTGTTTCTTGGCTGTGATTTCTGTCGGTACAATCCCAACTGCTATCTTTCAAGATTCCAGAAAATTTCTTACCTCTTGATGTCTTGACATAATTTCTTCTTTTCTAGTCCTATTCTTTGGCTTTTATTTTTCTTTTTGCTATAATGTTGTTTTTGCCAATTCAAGTGGGGTTATGGAAAGGAGGGATAATGTAGTTAATGTTTAGTTTGCTATCTGAAACAGAAAATCCCAACCTTAGATTTCATAAGCAGCTTCTGTTTGTAGTAAAAATTCAATTCTAGAATGCATACTAGGGCTAGGCCATAATTCTTTAAAGTATATGTAATTATATGTAATTTTTTACATTTTAATTTTTTAATAAAAATGTATAAAATCTTCATTTAAGATGAGAAATAGGGTTTTTTCCTTCTGTTTACAAAGGAGATAACAAATCAAATTTAAAGTATTACAGAAATGGACATTTTTAAGTTTCTTGGGGAAATTCAGACTGCTTTTGAAGTTAGATAATGAAAAACTTTATTTTTGTTCATTTTCTATTGAAATGTTTTTTGAATTGTTACTGTATGTGGAATGGAGTGGAAGTAGGAATTATGCCTAAGTACAATTTGTAAAATTTAAACAAAAGGCCATTAACATAGATATATTCAGTGTAAATTTGAATTAACTCCTTGATCTTTAGGAACTCTTCAGATATAAGTTCTCGTTTTTATTTTTTAGAGAAAGTATCAAAAATACTTTTTAATACATAGTTTTAGTTTTGTAATTACGCCAGCAAAATAGTTTTAAAGCTTTTTTTTTTTAGTGCCAGTAAAATTGTCTTTTGAAACCTGAAATCCCTTCCCATCTAAATAACAACTTCCAAATATTAATGTAAAATTTTGTTCGTGAGAAATTTGAAAAGGTATGTGAAAATGTTTCACTTAATAGTAAAAGTCTCCAGTATTTATACCCAGATATTTTTTTTCTGTATTTTGGTTTGGATTTTTCTTCTTACAATATAAAGGCAATATATATTGGAAATTTTTATATTGTGTAATTGAATGTTAAAGTAACTCCCACCCCACCCCCGAAACTATTATTTACAATTTGGTATTCTTTCATATCTCGTATTTTTTCTGTTTACATACACACATATATTTTATATATAGACACTTTCCTTGTCTTTAGTATGCAATAAAACTTTTATTTGTAAAGGCCTGTAAACTTCAGGATTAATAGGAATGTTGTTCTTGAGAGATTTTATGTTTGAATATTCTTAGAGTAAAATATATGGATACCTCCAAAAAATTTTATTGAAACATTTTTAGTCTTATTTTTCACAAGTTTCTTCTCCAAGCTTGGTCTCTATTAAGTTAGTCTAGAGACTTTTTTTAGTACTTATGATGTAATTTTCTGTGCTGATGATACCCATTTCATGGAAATAATGCTTCTTTATTGATATTTCCCTACTACTTTTTTTCCAGTCCACCCCATTGCACTCATAACAGCCTCCCATTTGATCCGTGTATCTCAAGAGCCTCTCACTTTGCCTATCCATACTACACACTAGTTGCTGGTAGTCATGTTAAATGATGCAGCTGCCCTGTGGGGAGACGTGAAGAGGGTTGGGGAATGACGGGCTGCTAATGAGTATAGAGTTCCTTTTTGGAGTTATGAAATGTTCTAAAATTAGATTGTGATGATGATTTTTCAGTGAATATACTAAAAAAAAATTAGGCTGTATACTTTAAATAGGTGAATTGTATGGTTTGTGTTTTAAGCTGTTTTAAAAGCCAATAATAGATTTAAATGTAAAACTTTGGGGCAGAAATCAACATTATGCAGAATAAAAGGCATATTATATATGAAAGGTCAAAGAAATGTGAAGCACATATTTTCTAGTATGCTTAATAATCAAAGTAATTTTTTATAACTCTTACAGTACAAATTTTATAAACATGGTAGTCTTACCTCCCTAAATATCGTAAACCTGCTTACTGCTTTTGTTTTTGAGAAGCAATGCTTGTCATTTTTCTCTTCTGCTACAAAGCTGCTTCTAGACAAAATGTAACAGTATGGAAGAGGAAGCCTATAAAATTTGGTCTTAAATTCTTCCACATTTTTGCATGCCTCCCCCGACCCAATACTTTAATTTCCTCTAATTTCCTCTTGGTGACTCCAGCTCCATTTTATAGAATTCAAAATTTCTTTCCCTCTTGACCGATTTCCACTCCACCCAGAAATTTCCATTTCTTCAGTGGGTCCTTGTTTAAGGTAAGAAGTTTGTTGCATTAGTTTATAAGCCATGCATTTCTGATACTTGCATTTTAAAAGATTACGAAATTGGGGTTAGAAAATGTTGTCTATGAAGAGCCAGATGTAATTGTTGCCGTTGCATCCCTGCTATTATGGGTGAAATCAGCCACAGACAAAACATAAATGAATGGATAAGCCTAATTTGACCCCAGGAAGGTCAGATCAAGCCATAGTGTGTCAACCCATGTTATAGAATTCTTAATCCAAAGGCTCAGTATTAAAGATGAAATGGAATGAAGACATTCAAGTGCAATAAATTTAGGCATTTATGTCCTCCATGTCTACCACTAATGAAAATAATTTTTATTTCTATACTGCTTTTCTTCCAAGGTTATCTGAGGAACAGAGGTCAGAACCTAGGCACTTTTGAAAGTTTACCAAGGCTTATTAAGGGAATACAGGATTTACGTAACCACTAAAGACTATATAGCATGAATGTTGGGTTACTATTAAGATTAGGTTGATGTAGGTGTGTGTATATATAAATTTAAATTTATTTGTATATCGCTGCATATAAATTTGCATATTGTGTTATATATGTGTGTGTAATTTTTTAATATGTTTACTGTGGGGTACATTTGGATAGTGTGTAAAATATCCCAAACAAATTTATTGAATTTGAATGTAAAATATGAATGAATTTAAGGTGAACAGGGAAAAAATAAATACTGTGTTATTTGACCCTGCTAATGTAGATAAAGATGAATGAATATCAGTATGGTTAGCATCTCCTCCAATAGTATTCTGTATTGACTGAAGTGTTTTACTTCAACCTGATGTTTGTTTAGCTTTTTGAGTATATAATAATTGCTCGTGTATAAAAGAAATGTAATTTTGAAACAATGGCATTGTTTTAGATCTATGGCAAGTATGTTGTGAATCATAAAATTATATTTCAACTAATATTTCCAAGTAACAATAATGAGAAACTTGGCATTTGCCGTATCAGTGTTTCACAAATTACTGGATAATGCAGAATGACCATCACTCATTTGATGGATTTCTGAAAAAATAAAATATTAACTCTGGCAAGTTTGAGCCACTCAGAAAAACAAAATGGCATGTTTTATCCCCACGTATTTTATTTTATTTTATTTTTCTTAGAAACTGTGTCATTTCATTGTATGTTATGAGCAGATATTTTAGATGACTCTGACCTTATTAAACAAAACTGTGTTTCACTTTTGTCAAGTTTTTTGTTTTTCCAGGTCAAAATTTGAATATTTTATCTCTGCTATTAAATTAGGACTGACCTAGATAATAAATCAGCTATTGCCTCTCCCGCAATAAAATGATTACATTGCATACCTTTTTCTACCTCTTCCCTTCCTCTAGCTCCATTCTGGTAGTTAGCATTCATTTATTTGTTCAGCAGATACTTGAGTAACTGTTATATACCAAGCACTGTTTTAGGCACTAGAAACAGTAAACTAAGCAAACTCTGCCCCTGTCGAGCTTATATTCTTGAGTTGAGAGAAGGCAATAAACAATTGTTTATTGTTTAATATAAAATTTATGTAGTATGTTAGGAGATAAGTGCTATGGACACAGGTAGAGCAGGGTATGGATGTATTAATCTTTTGTAGAGAGGTTACTAACTTAATTAATGTCAATATTGTCACCTTATTTTCTCTTTCAATTTGTAGTTCCGATGACAGGATTCACACAGAGAGCAACCATTGATCCAGAACTGAATGAAATACATGTCTTATCTGGACTCAGCAAAGACAAGGAAAAAAGGGAAGAGAATGTCAGAAATTCTTTCTGGATTTATGACATTGTGAGGAATAGTTGGTAAGATGCTCTTGTCTGTGCTGCGGTTTCAGTGTAACATATATTTGAGATTGTTGGTTTATTCAAAAGAAGAGAGAGATGGAAGGCTTGTGTTAATTTTTTATGTCATACGTTTTAATTTCCATACTGGCGAGCAGAGAAGTCAGTGTCAGAGCCTGTGTATACAGTGATGTTCAGCAAATGGACTTTACCTCTGAGTTATTCAATTAGCAGATGTTTCCCGGTCTGAGAATCAAGAGAATTGTATTTTAGCCTAGCTTTTGCTACTAAGTAGATGTGTGAACTTGAGAACAATATATTTTTAATGTTCCTAGGTCTTAGTTTTTATAAAATGAAGCAATTTGACTAGACCAGGATAGGGGGTATTATTTAGCATTTGAAACCAGGACCCTTTTGTCACAGAGCATCTCACAGAACTGTACATTTTGCTTTGGAAGACACTGACCTAGAGGATCCAGCCCTAATGTTCTGTGACTACTGCATAAGTAAATATTCTCCAGCACTTCAGAGAACTTCCTCCATTCAGTAATGGAGGGTGGTGTTCATCAACTAAGGAATTTATTATTTTCTAAACAAGACATTTATTTACAGTAAAAATGAGAACAGTCTGTTATTAGCTTTTTTATTGTGAACAGATAAATGGGATATCATCTCTTTGAACCTTTGGTGTAGGCCTTCATTATGCTGTTCCTGTTTTATAACATGAAGTAGATTGTTCTTAAGTGAGGTTTTTGATGGGCATTAAAGAACTTCAGAACTCAGTTGTAACAAATTCAGATTATTTTGTGAGAGTGACAAGAAATTTAAGATTTGATGTAAACAAATTTATAATTCTTCTGTTGTTAGTTAGGTGTGCAATTAATTTGTTTGCTACAATTGTATTAACATCAGGTGTGCTGCTAATTTTCTAGGATAGAATGCCTTAAAAAGCAGTGTCTTGCAGGTCTTGTGTCTATAAGAATGATCAAGCTGCAAAGGACAATCCAAGTAAAAGTCTTCAGGAGGAAGAACCATGTCCAAGATTTGCCCATCAGCTTGTATATGATGAATTACACAAGGTATCTTAACTACACTGACCTGTAGACTTTCCATGACGTACAATCTGAAGGAATCCCAAAATATATCTTCTTCTGATTATTTTTAAGTAATTTGAATAAAAAATTAAAATACATAACAGACATTTACTAGAATATGTAGCAGACATTCAATATTATCCCTAAAATTCCCTAAGAGATTAATCATTTTTGCATAGTCCATAATTCCTGGCACTTTTCTTCTTTTGAAAATGGTCAATGGCTGCTGCTTCTTAGCTGCATAGATCTGATGTACAGCATGGCCTATTGTTTCTACAATATGAACATTCAAGTAGGTGTACAGTTTTCAGCATTTGGATACCTTTTTCCATGATATGAAAAGGTGTATATAACTTCCTGATTTTAGATTTCCCATTGTGTGAGAGGTCTTTTGTCTTTATTTTTCCTATCTGTGACTGCATATCTTCTCCATCAGCCTTGTGAAAACAGTCCTGAATTCTGAAGTTTTAGTGTCACTAAGTGTTCAAGAGTGGTTTCTTTAACTATTTCTCCCTTAAACTTTACATATAGTTTAATAATTAGGCTCAGATTATGTAGTAAATTACTGATATAACCTGTATTCTTTATTCTTTCTGTTTAGGCCGTAGATGATTATTTGATCTCTGTCATTTGAGAACTTTAAGTAAAAGACACCATCAGAATAAATGAAAGCGCTTTCTCTGAAAGTCTCCCAAATTAAAGGACAAATGAATTTCCATCTATAGTATGGAAATAATACATCTGTTATATAACAGTACTGATTATAAATGTTTTCAAAATTTCAGGAAATGCTTTAACACTTCGAGTACAGAGTATCAGTAAAACAATAATTAATATAGTGAAATCATTATTGCATTCCTTTTATGTTTCTTATTTGGTATTGAATAATAGAATAATATTTAAAAAGTTACTTCACAAATCACTTGTGCCACTTAATATTGGCCTTAAGGCTAAAGCAAAATTAAGATGCTAAAATTTTTAAAGTTTCTAGTTATTGTTGACCTTCAGTGATTCAACTTGTGAGTTTTTTTTAAAGATATCATTTGTTATTATGATCAATACTTGATTAATTTGATAATCCCCATTATTTGTTGTCCTAAGCAAACTCTGTATCTTGAAATAGCTTCTTAACTATGATTGCTTTTGTTTCATGTCTTCCATTGTCAGTGTAACCTTGATAATCAATTTATTTTAATATACGATTTAACCTAAGGAAGTAGCCACATTAAAGTAAAATGGAAACTTGAGAACAATCAGAAGAAGCCTTTGCTAGAAATGCAATTATGTTTTAGTTTTTTTTAATATGGGTAAAGCTAAAGAAGTTACTTATTACACACTACTACCAGAATGAAGAATTTTACTATGGCTTCTGTAGTTTCTTGAGTATGCATACATTTTTTAAAATCTGATTTGTTTTATTTATTATAGGTTCATTATTTATTTGGTGGAAATCCAGGAAAATCTTGCTCCCCAAAGATGAGATTAGATGACTTCTGGTCACTGAAATTGTGTAGGCCTTCAAAAGATTACTTACTGAGGCATTGCAAGTACCTCATAAGAAAACACAGGTATAAAAAATAGTTCACTGACAACTTTTATTTAGCATTGTCAACTATTGTTGGTATTACCTAAACTTTGGAGATATGACTGTCTTTGGAAATTTAGTGACATGACAGTGTAAATACTGTGAAGATAATGACTTTTGTAAATGTCTTGTTATTTTTATTTTTGCTTTCTTCTTTCAAAGGGAAGTACAAAATGAACATAGATCTTGATGCTAAAAATTACTACAGATAGAGCAAGGAAATTTTGCAACTGTTAAAATAATAAAAAAAATTCCTCTGAAGCTGATGAACCTACCTTCAAGTGATTCAAGGCCTAACCACTAAAAATTGTCAGTTTTAGACCGCTGACATATGCCTGGCCTGTTGATGACTCTCTTAACAGTGAATGTGACGATCCAATTGACTAAATAATACCTTTATAATTTACGTTTCAGAATACAGCTTCAAATATGTTTATGGTTTTACATCATTACCTTTGCCATTTAATTGCAAAATCACATACTCAAACATTTTCATACATCTCCTGGGTCACTGTTTGCTTTTTAGCCTTAGCAGGTGATAAGCTACTGAAAAATGTAGAAAAATACCTCTGTCCCTTTGGTTACTGATAGATTATAAAAAAACTTAATTTGGAGAAAGGGAAGGTTAGCTTTTAATGATAATAATAACTACCATTTACTGAGCAATTTTTGTGTACTAGATCCTGTATGTTATCCTCAGAATAAGCCAGTGGGGTAGATACTATTATTATCTCTTTTATAAAAGAAGAAATGGAGACATTTTTAAACGGGTTGTATAACTCATCTAGCATCACTCGACCATAAATGACAGAGCCAGGATTTGATCCTGAGGGTTCTGACTCCAAAGTTTACCACTGCACCACCACCACCACCACCACCTCACACACAAACACACGCATGCATGCATACATACATATGTATGTTTATATGTTTATTATATAATTGTATTTTATACAAAATATAAATACATTAAAATCTCTGTAGGTATAATTAGATTTGTGTTTCTTTATCATATCATGTTTACTTATTTCTTCCTCTGCTTTTACAAGTTGTGCTTGAGAGATGTATTGATAACAGAAGCTAGTTACTTCTGTTACTTTGGCATTACTATGAATAATTAAGAGTATTTCCTATAGAATCTATAGAAGAAAGGATGTGAATCTTCACATTGGCTGGATGGCTAGAGATAAATTCCTTCTTATTAACAAGATTTAAGGTACCTTCAGCTAATATTTACATTGCTAAAATTTTATTTCTTGGTACTTTACTTAATGTTGAACTTTGTTTTTTAAAAGGCTAAGGACAAATTTGGGGAAATCATAGTGGTTTTTTTCCCTTCCTTCAGATATAATAGCTGTAGTTGGAATATTAAGTTGTGCTTTTAAAAAAATTTTTCTGACCAAAGGCCCATTAGAGATTAAAGGAGACTGTTTAAGAATTGAAACTTAACTTATAAATGCTTTCCTCTGACTTTTTTTTTTATGGAAGTACTGGAGATTGAATGCAGGATCTTGAGCATACTAAGCACATGCTCTACTGCTGAGCTATACCCACCCCTCTTTTTAAAAAATTATTATTCTTTTTTCTTTTTTTATTATTAGACTTTATTTTTTAGAGCAGTTTCAGGTTCACAGAAGAATTGAGCAGAAAATACAGAGTTTGCACATAGCCCTCCCCCTCACACACATTATATACTCCCCTGCCCTCAACATCCATCATCAGTGTGATGTATTTGGTAAAATCGATGAACCAACATGGATGCATTATTATTAACCAAAGTCCATAGTTTACATTAGGGTTCACGCTTGATGTTGTACATTCTATGGGTTTTGACAAATGCATAATAGCATGTAGCCACCACTATAGTATCATACAGAATAATTTCATTGCCCTAAAAATCCCTTTGGTCCATCTATTCATTCCTCCCTCCCTCTCCTCAAACCCCTGGAAACTATGATCTTTTTATTGTTTCTGTAGCTTTGCCTTTTCCAGGATGTCATTTGGTTGGAATCATACAGTTTGTAACCTTTCACACTGGCTTCTTTTTCATTTAGTAATATGTCTTTTAAGTTTCTTTCATGGCTTGATAGCTCATTTCTTTTTTTTTTCTTTTTTTTAACTACATATATATTTTAAAATTTACATATATGTACTGTTCATTGTTTTTAAGAACATTTAGAGCTTTAGCTTTTTAAACTTTCATAGTTATCAAAGGAATAAAGCCAACCACAAAATAAGAATTAACTCAAAAAGATACATAAACCGTGCTATTAACAGCAACATTATTTACAATGCCAAGATACAGAAGCATCCTAAGTGCACATCAATAGCTGAATAGATAAAGAAGATGTAGCATATGTATATGTAATGGAATACAACTCACCCATAAGAAAGAAGTATATTTTGCCATTTGTGGCCCTTCAGTCACTTTTTTTTTTCACTTCAAAAACCAGAATTTTATAACTGGAATAAACGTTTCCATTGCATTAAAAACAACAAAGTACCTAGATATAAACTTAACCAAGGAGGTTATCTATACTCCGAAAACCAGAATGACACAAAGAAATGGAAAGATTTCTTGTGGTCTTCAATTGGAAGAATCAACACTATCAAAATGGCCGCACTACCCAAAGCAATCCA